AAGAAAGAAAGAAAGAAGAAAGAAAGAGGAAAAAGAAAAAAGAAACGGGGAGCTTAAAGGAATTATGGAACACCACCAAGTAACGAGCAAACAGTGATCTGCATCCCTAGCTAATTTTATGGTTTCCTTCTTTAAGCATGACATGCTCATTAATTAAGTTGTTGTTGGTCACCTGCCTTTATCTTCCTTAAGACCACCAGACATCAAGTAGTCTGATATCTTCCCAATGACATTGGTCTGCATTTGCTTATGCCAAAAGTAAGTACCTTCTTACACTCAGTAGAAACCATTTGTTTCCCATGGGTACTTCTTCTACCTTTTTACCTGAGCTGAGAAATCTGTGTGTGTTCCAGCTGTGGATCAGATTCAGTGAGGAATCTCCCTCTGGGGTCTCATGCCTAACATTAGTGGAGACATCTGTGCTATAGAGCTATTTGCTACAGCATCTTCAGGAGGCCACAAGGCCTCAGTTCTTCTGGGATTTAGAAGACCAAATCATTTCTAATAGAAGACTAAAGTAATTTCTGTTCATCAGACAAGAGGAACACCTCCTCACTGTTTCTGCAATATGAACATGAAACCTTGACTCTGAGGCCATTTCTGCTCACAAAAACAGATGGCAGTTGAGAAGAACAGCAGTAGTATCATTGGCCTACAGGAGTGACTACTGATCATGAACGACCAACTTGAAATGTTTAAGAAACACCAAGCAGATTATAAAGCACAGTTTTACATATGTTCGTGGATGACTGACACGTAGGCCAGCAAACTAAAGGTGAGGGAAGAACATACCCTGGACAAGGGTAGCAATAGGATGAATAAAAGAAAAAAGAAACAGAGAAAGAAATATGCTTGTTTCTGAAGCACTCAGTGTTTGCCATCACCTTCGGACACTGGCCTGCACTTTCTCCAGGCTTCCAACCCACACTCACCCTTGGAACTCAACAGTGAGCTTTTGGCCATCAAACTTGGGTTACTTCTGTGTCCTTGATCCCAATTATTCTACAGTTTCCAACACCTTGGCCCAGATAGCTACTGCATTCTCCAGCTCTTCAGCATGCTGTATTCTTCTGCCTCTGATTCCTCAATGATCATTTTGGTCTCTCCAGCTTCTGATCCTATGAGCCTATCCTAATAAATTATCTTGCATAATTATATGTACATATATGTTTCTAGAACTGTACATGCAGTTGCCAACAAGAACTCTGCACTTTCATGTCTCCCAGGTACCTTAGAAAGGACATTTAGTATTTTCCGTTCCATCCCAGCACCTTTGTAGGTAAAATGTTGGTGGATGAACATCATTTTTTTGTAGTTTTTCCTGTAAATTAAATTACATACCCAAGCTTCTATGTCTCTTCCCTTGAAAGGTGAACGTTTAAATAGAGTAGAAATTGTGTTAGCCTTTTATACCTGTATTTCTTGACAAAAAATTTATAATCTATTTTGATACTTTCTTTAGACACATGATGTGACTGGAATGAATGTATAACTAAACAAATATTACAACCAATTTGGTTTTAAAAAAAGAATACATGGACTTGTGTTTTATTGTTAGGAAAGAAAATGAAGTTTTCTTGTAAAGAATTTTTAACTAAAAATATAACATAATTAAATAAAAAGGTAAATACAGTTTATAACATTATTGCAGCATAAAATGAATATCTTATGATTTATATAAATATTATAAATATCACAAAATGCAGCAATGGATAAATATAAATAAATGAGCAACAATAAAGTCATCATAACTTAAATAATTATGCTCCTAGGCAAAAATATCTTTAACATATACTTGCCTGACATTACTGGTAAGGTGTTCCTTTAAGTAATTTGAAAATTCTGCACCTAACAGTAATTAAAAACCTCTTGACATATCCAAAGACATGAACACAATGTGATATGTCAGATTAATCAATAAGAATCACCTCAGGTTGACAGCCGGTCTTCATCTTCCTTTCTTTAAAAAAAAAAAAAAAATTATGTATTTGGTACAGGCTCTCACTGTGCAGCTCAGACTGGTAGTGATCCTCCTATTCCAGCCTCCAAGACTGGGATTATAGGCATGTGCCACCATGCCTGGTCTTGGTGGCTGGCTTGGCACGCCCGGGGCATGGCTGGCATGGCATGCGGTACCAGGTATTGAACCTGGGGCCTTGTACTTGCCTACAAAGGCACTTAGCCCACTGCGCTCTCTCCACAGACCCATCTTTCCTTCTTATCCTCTCTTGCAACTTTGCTGAGGAAGAGAAAGCTCTCATGATTTCTACCCTGACAATTTCCCAAGCACAGTCACTGTATTTCTTCTCTTCCAAGTAGAGGCGGATGCCCAGGAAATACCTCCGCAAGGCCAAGATAGTGTTCTCGATTTCCAGGACAGATTTTTCTTCTCCCTTTACAAGCACCATGCAGGTCTTCGTGACTTCCAGCTGCTGATGGAGCACAATGCGAAGCTTGTCCAAGACAGTTGTATTCCAAGCAGCAGAAGCGAGCTCTGTGTTGAAGAGAATGAGAATTTGCTGTAAAGTCCCCTTCAGGACAGACACGCTCTGGGCCTTCTGTAACTTGTCGCTAGTCATCATCTTCTGGGGAAATAGAAAGTTTCTTCTGTCCTTCAGACACAAAAATGGGGGCATTTTTCTCATCTGTCCCAGGAGCACAAAAGTCTTCCTGCTAAGTGAAACAGAATTCCGGGGCAAGTGACAGCCCAGACAGCCAGCAAGTCCAGAGCAGCACAGCATCAGGGTGGTCAGCAGAGAAAGCAGGAGGGCCATGGGCTGGGGCGGTTGCTGCTGGCTTGGCCGAGCAGTGTCTGCACGAACCTTGGACTTTTGGCTCTCTGGACTCGCTAATATTATGTATGCCTTTTAAATGGGGAATACACTCTTCATTTTCTAAGTGCTTTTTTGCACCCTTACTTAGATTTCTGATTTTCATTTTTTTTTCCCCCACAGAGGCTAAGTTAGTAATTTTGCAATAAAAGCAGACTTTTCCCCTTTTCCCCCGCAAGCTTCATTTATGTGAATGCAAATGGGTTGGTAAGTTTTCAGTTCCACTGAAAATATTTGTAGCTTAAAGCTAGAAATGCATATATATTGATACACACATATACAATTTTTTCATATACAAATATTATTCTTTTTTGCTTTAGGAATGTAAGTGTTGCCCTGATCCTAGCCTGCATTTTTCCTCAGTTACATCACATTGAAAATCAGTCTCCCTTCACTCTATGAGTTTCTGTGTTTGCTGAGGGATTTACTAAAACATTTAAGACAGATAAAGCCTTACAATGGAGAAGGCAGGGTAGTTCTGTTCTCGTCACAAAAGACCCTGATGATTACTCCTTCAAGAGCACATTCAAAACAATGAAGATGAGAGAATAGAGAAAAGATAGGAAAAAAGGCAGCGGGAAACACGCAAGTATATATCTATATACAGGATGACTGAGGTGATTGTACTAAGAATTTCTATCAGTTTTTTAAAAACAGCAGTTAATGTGTAGAATTTTCACCTTGACTAACTCTGTATGCTGGTATCTGTGATCTAAGCAACTACAAGGAGGACAGTGATGTGCAGTACAAAGACCATGTTTAAATAATGGTCATCTTGGTCTTCTAAAAGTGTACCATTTCTAATGTCATATCAATTATTACTATACTCTCTTTAAAATAAATTTTAAGGAAAGGGTAAAAAAAAAAAGAAATACAAGAACAAAAATTTAAAGTTTTTTGAAAGCAAGCAGTAATATGCAATCATATGTCCAATCTTCCATAATTATATCTGTTAATCTGAGCACAAGTTGACAATAAAAATAGATAATATATTGTTAGCTAATTATTCTTGTTTTGAAAATCTGTAACATATGCATTGTTGCATGTTACCCTATTTCTGTCTTTGTTTCTGATTTTTCATTCTTGCTTTTGCTTTTGCTTATCAAAATTAAATTAAATAAAACTAAAAAAAACACATTCACACAGGGCCATGTGGTTGTGCTTCATGACAGACATAAAATTAAGATTAATGTAGATGTTGCTCCTTCTGTGTCCCATGTTCTTACTAAGGGTCACAGAGGCCTTCCAGCTATATCAGTTACTCCTGGTTCTTTAAAGTTGTACATGTGTGTGTAGATTATAATTACAATATCACATTATCACCCCAGCATTACCTCACACAAAAGTGGTTATCACACCTAGTAACACTCCCTGCTCTAGTACATCAAAGAATCCTAGCCCACACCCATAAGAGTCATTGTAAGACAGCGGATTTACTGCATTGTGCTTACTTTAGAGCTCCCTATTGAAGAGGGAGTCATTTCTTTGTTGAGAAAGTAAATGAACTTGAAAAGGACTTTATCCCTATCCCTAGAATGCCTCAATGTTGACCTCCTCCTTGCTTGTTCCACTGTCTGCAACCCTCAGAAGCTGACTGCCAAAATATATGTTGTCTAAGTAAGTGGAGGAGTTATTTAATTACAATTATTATGTCTCCAATAGTCACATAAGATTTATTTGCCAAGTTCAACTATGAGTGTTCAATGTTTACGGTAAGGTGTTAAACACATGTTCTCCTTGAAATTCCTGAGGTGAACACAGGAGACTTAGAGAGGATTTAGAGAAGATTTAGAATTGTCTCTCACTCAACCTATTATTCACTCTGAAAGCCAACACATTAGAAATGGTTATCTAAGCTGCCCATGGTTGCCAAGGTTAACATAAATAGATGATTTCCCTTCACAACTTGTGGGCTTTTAAGATTTTTAATAGACATTATTTCAGCTTTGCAAATGTTTTTGAAATCTGAAATAAAGATCGTCTATCATTGTGTTGATGTTGACTTCTTTGCTGTGTGCACAAGCATGAAAGCCTCACAGAACACAGGTCAGACCTTGTTCTTCAGGTCTAAGACTGCAACTCAGCACAGATGTAGTAAAAGCCAGGACATGACGCCAGTGCAGCTCTCTTCAGGAGCGCTCTTCCCTGACTCTGCTCGCCACATCTTAGGTGGACTCCTGTGTGGAGGGCTGGAGTTGTGAGCATTAGGCCTGGCTCCAGGAGGCGAGTGTGAACCAAGCGGGCAGCTCTTTGCTTGTTCTACTCAGTCAGCTTCCTCCAGCTTTGCTCCTCAGTCCTCCAATTCTGCTGAATTTGGAACAAATTAATGAGTTGGGGATAGGAAACATGATATGTTCATAGACAATTTCAGGTCAAGGTGACAGCATGGAGCCAATTAATAGAGCTTATACATATAATATAAAATGCTACATAAAAAAATTACTTTGTAAAAGAAGCAGTATGCAGGAATTTCTGCCGACTTCCGGGAACCCCCAGACCCAGTCCTAGCCCAGGTCCGGTGAGTGTGTGGAGAGCTTCCTGCTACCCTGCGCCGGAGG